GGCATATCTCCTGAGGTTACAAATCATATCTAAGGCAATATTACAACTCAGCAAAGACTTGGGGGGGGCAGGGATCAGTCAGACAGGGGTTGGGCAAAAAGTTCATGACTTAATTAATAAACTGTGTCTCCTTTCAAGTGCCGGGTGCTGGGTTTTTGTAGAAATGTATAGGAGTGTAGTAGAAGCTGTCAGAACATTGGGGAATGAGCACGTTTTACAAAAGCATTGGCGGGAAAATAGTTTTGTAAAGTCCTGTCACTGACATATGCATTTACAGATAACATGAAATGACTCAATACCCAGCAGCATATAATATCTTATACCTGCATTGTATTCTAGATTTTACAGCAGACATTAGTGCTTATATCTAAACTATGGAAAGATATATGTGACAGATTTAGCTGATACAATCTTAGCCCTTTAGCAAAACCTCAAAGTTCTCTGAAAATCATTTTCCTTTTAACACAATGCTACCAGCAAATTTCTCTCATTGGTGGAAGGCTAGAGTGCCATGTTCCCATGAACAGGGCCAGAAAAGTCTTGGTCAAAGGTATAGTTCAAACAATCATGTGGATGACGTGGGATAATTTTATCCTGACTACTCCCCCCCCTCCTTTTTTTTTTAAGACTTCATTCTTTATACACTCACATTCATCCAAGTTTTAAAAAATCATAAATGTCATGAAAATTATAGAAATGTCTTTCGTTGTTGTAGCCTTGCACATTTAAGGTAGACATGCTGGCAGCCATAACAATGTATCACAGATGAGTCTCTATCACCAGTACCTTAATTAGACTGTTCTGGAATAGACTGACCTGGAGTGGACTGACAGGTGTTTTTCTTGCTAATATTATATGACAACAGCGCATCATTAACAGCTCCCCTAAAATTACCACACAGCACTGCGTTCACCTAATCGGGAACTTCTGCTAACTTCCTGCGGTGGGTTAGCTGTTCTCAGTTTAATTTTATTCCTAACTTTCTCTGAATGGATCACTGTGGACGATACTATTATCCACAGTCACCAAACTTTCTACTTTCCTATTCTCTTTGAGTGTGTAGTTCCTTAAAAGTCTGAACTTAAGATAACTTCCTTTAACCAATAAAATGTGAGAAGTGACCTGTGTGGTTTGTGGGTGAAAGCACCCAGGTTTGGTGGGCAGTTCTTCCGGCTCCCTTTCCAGTTGTGTGCTTGTGGAGCTGTCAAAGGGATGAAGCAGGCTCGAAAGACAAGATTTTGTTACAGCGACAGAGCCTGCCCTATCCTGAAGGACACAGCCTCTCACACTGCTCATCCCCATTACAACATGGCTGCTCACGTGGCTAGTACACCAATAAGTCACCTTCACTCCTGAGTCGATGGCAGTTGTTGAAGACAAATCCTAGAGAAAATACCAAGGGAGAGCAGGAAGATGATTGAGGTAAATCAGACCGAGTGTTCCACATCCTTGCCAGATCACTAGTGGAGGATTGCCCAATACAGGTAGCCATCTTGATTTAAAACAGAACCGTTTTATGAGAGAAAGGAGTTTAATTCAGAGCACACCAAAGGCTGCTGGGAAATTCAGCATAGCAAGTATTTGGAAATGCAGACAGAGACTTGGAAAGAAGTTAAAGAGGTAGGCATGGATTCTGAAGTAATCTCTACACAACTGAAAACCAAACTAAAGCATGAATTTGTGAGGCAATTGGTAGAGAGGGGAAGAACTAATCTTAAAAACGCCTATATTTGGGACACAGAGAAAGGAGGACAAGCAGGGAATGGGAAGTATGATGACATCCCCATTCATCCTGAGGGCTAAGAATAACGGATCTTCATTAATAGAGCCATTTACATTTAAATTTCAAGGTTTTTAATGAGGAGGGGAAAATGCACATCTCCGTAGCAATCCATTTACCAGCTACAATATTAAAATAGATTACCCATCCAACAGGCAGCTGGACATTATCTGTAATGAAAAGCAAAATGATTTTTTTAATTCAATGTCTGAGACCCAATATATCACGATTTAAAGTAGAAAATGAACTTTTTAACAAGTGTGGCTTCCTCTGTACATCTGCATGTCTGGTGTGCTGTGGGGTGGCCATTTTTTGTGGGGTGACTACCTTATTTTTACACCCGACTCCTTCTGCAAGCATGCTGGGCCTCACGTCTGCTATGACGACCCCAGAATCATCGGAGCAGTTTCTAACTTTGGTGTGTCTGGGCTAGATCCTGGTTTGTCCTCGCTGGACCTACAATATGCTAGCTCGGTGTGTTTGCTGTGGTGGTTAGCATCCTCAACTTGACAGGATCTAGGATCGCCTAGGAAACAGATGTCTGAGCGCTTTTGTGAGATTGGATTAACCCAGGCAGGAAGACCCACTGTAAATGTGGGTAGCACCATCCATGGCCTGTGCTTCCAGAGTGAAGAAAAGGGAGAGAGCAAGCTGGGCAGCATTCATTGCTCCCTTCTTCCTCACCAGCCACCTCACACTCCCGCAGCCATTCTTTTCCTGCCATGACGGAACCCCCTCCTCCCTTGGGTTGCATTTGCGGATGTTTTCTCATAGCAACGTGGAGAACAATTAATAGCGCGCCCATCTTACAGCCTGAGAGTTGAGCAGCCAAGATGCAACAAGGACTAGCCAGTGACAAAGAGTATGTTGTAAGCCTTGTACTTAAAGTGCACACTGACCAGCACCTGGGAGTTCACTAGACAGAGAGCCTCAGCTCAACGCTGGTTCCACCCATCAGAATTGGGTTCTAACAAGGTCCCCAGCCGATCCTTCCACACGAGAAGTTGAGTGAGCGCTGGCCTAAGCCAACCATACAAGGACCCCATCTAATGACCACTGAAGAAGATGCCTTCTTCTGCTTAGTCAGCAGGGAAGGGTGGCAGCCGCCACAATAGGACACTGGAGCGTATTGTGAAGAGCAGGGGTTTGGGACCACTTCCAAGAGCAGCAGATACTGAGCCGAGCCGGGGGTTGAGGCCAGAATATTTTCTTACTTCGTTTCATTAAAAACAGCTGCTGGTGTCCCAGATGGACACGTGCCCACAGCAATGCTCTTCCGGAGTGAGCTTCCCCAGTCCGGAATCTATTTTCCAGCCAGAACCCAAACATCATCGGAATAGAGATGGTAGATTTGGAACCTCAATGCAGCGCGCAGTTACAAAACCATCCATCGCGACATCCGACTGAGATGTCTTTTTGATGACATTTTTGATGAATTTTTCTTTTAATAAAAATTCGTGAGAGGAAGAAAAAAAAAAAAAAACTAGTTGGCCCTCTCATTATCCATCAGGTCCTAGAAGTGAGTGTAAACAGTTTCGGGGTACTAGACCCAGGCGCGGGCACTTCCTTCAGGGTGGGGCGCCGCCTTTGGATCCTTTCTGCAAGCCTTGCCCTCCTGCTCCGGGCTGGATGCAGCCTTCAGCCGCTCCACTTCTCCCCAGGCACTTTCCCCCCCATACCACCAGTTCAGCCGAGCAGACCCAGAGGTCCTAGGTAGATCACCTGCGTGTCCCCTCCACAGCTGGGGTCCCCACCTGCAGCCCGCACTCGGGCAAGGGGCGGCGCCGAGGGGGGTTCTCCCGAGTGGACTCTGACGGTGGCAGACGGCAAGTCACGTGAGTCTGTGGGGGCGGAGCGCGGCCGGCCGAGGGGGTGGAGAAAACAAAGCCCCCAGCTGTCAGCAGAGGAAAGAGGCAACGGCGTCGGAGCAGGTGAGTCAACTACGTTCAAAACTGTACCGCCCCGGCGCACCCCACACCCTTTGCCCTGGGTCGGTCCCTCCCAGGCCCGGCGTTGGCCGCGCCTCCCCCTACCCGCCCCCGCCCGGGTCTGCTGTGTGCAGATCGCAGAGCAAGCGGATCCGGGGGTCTCCCGGCCCATCAAGAAGTTCTCCAAGCCAGGGGGTGCGCGCAGTCGCTCTCCTAGGGGTCGCCCCTCTCTGACGCGGTGGGGGGCTAGAGCGGTACTGCCGTAGGAGAGGCAGGGAGAGAGCGCTGCCACGCTGGCAAGGCACAAAGTGCGCGGGCCAGAGAGTGGAGGCTGGGGCCACCTAGGAGAGGGGGACCTGGAGATGCGCGCCCTCGGCGCCCGGGCCCCTCCGGCTACGGGACTGGGACTTCGGGGCCGAGAGCCTCCGCGGCTGCCAGAAGCTGCGCACTTTGGGGCAAACCTGGGAGCGCGGCTCGCGCCCACCGTCTGGAGCGCATTTCCGACCCCCCAAGCTCTGCTGCCTCCCCTCCACCCCCGTGCGTCCTGTGCAGGGACGCGGGTCGCACAGCCCGGGGACCGATCCCTCCTGGATCCGGGACTTGGGAGCCGGGTCTGTAGCAAGGAAAGTGGGATGCTAGTCCGTGTCTGAGTGGTTCGGCAAGCAGCACCTGCAGAGAGAGAGGGAGAGAGAGCTACTGTGGTTTGGAGGGGCATTCTCCAGTCCACCTTTCCAAGTGCTGCGCAGAAGAGCCAGAAGTGATGCCACAAAGGCCAAGCAAGAAAGAGCGGGTGGGCTCAAAAGGACCCTGCCCTCTAAACTTGAGCCTTAGGCAACGCGGACTTCCGAGCATGCAGAAGGGTCTGGTCGCCCCTTGAGTTTTGTCAGGCCAGTGTCAAAGGCGCAGCTGCAGCGTTGAGGAGAGGCGCTGCGGCCATTGGGCCAGGGGCCTTTGTCTTAACCTCCAGTTCCCTCCTGTTAGTTCTCGTTGGGCAAGTGGCGCGCCGAGTAATTAATATTCCGAACATTAGCTGTCCCTTCACCTCAGCACCAGACGGCCCTACTGTCCCTTCTGCCCCCTACCCACAGCGGGAGGTCACCACTTCCTCGCGCCCTATCATTGCCTGGGAGGAAAAAAAAGAACAGAAAAGGATGAAAGAAAGTGATCCGGACCCACTAAGCAAAAAGAGGACTGCCTAAAGCACCACAGAGGGGTCAAAGCAAAAATCAAGGGTTAAGAGAATGCCCACACCTGCGCATGCCTGCTCGCGAGGAGCGAAGGAGTCGCAAGAACTTTCTTGATTAGCATAAGTATCTGCCCCGGGGCCCTGGTGCGAGGCGGAGGCTCTGACCTAGCTTAGGTGCTAAGAGAAGTCCAGCCTGTGGTGAGGTCTGAGCAGCACCTGCTTCTAATCCCAGAGAGGACCGCGGGGGTGCGACTCGGCGGGGCAGAACGCTAGGATGAAACAGATCAGAGACCAAAGGGTAACCAGAAAGGTAAAGTGGGGTGCTTCTCTTGGACACTACATTTTAGCAAGCAGTTGGGCTGACGGGAGTGGTGGTGCTCGCCCGGGCAGAGTCCCTCTTGGAAACAACTCGCTTTGCAGTCACTTTTGTCTACCGACCCTAAAAATCCGTCGGGAAAGAGCATCGTGTGCCATTCATCTCTGAAACAGGGTGGTCTTTGGGTAAGCTTCGCTAGAAAGCCTCCTTTGCGTGGGAAAATGATGCTGCTGCTGCGAAGCTCCAATTTGCAAACTTGGCTTCATCGGGGCAACACCTGTGGAGATTTGGGGCTTCCTGGTTTCTAACCCCATCCCAAACCATTTACGTCTGATTGTTGCAGGGAGAGGGGAGGACTCCGCATTATAAGTGTTAATCTTCCAGGTGAATCCACTGCGGAGCAGGTTGAGAACCCACTTAGGTAAGAGCAACACGGTGGTGAGACGAGATGCCACTTTGACTACTTGAGTGGGTGAGAGAGAGAGAGAAAGAAGACACTGAAACTGCAGGGCCAGTGACTCACGCCTTAAGGCAGGTGACTGTCATCTGGAGGCCTGGCAGGTTGTGACATCGCGCTACCACGATATTCGTCCCTGCCCTGCCTGGGGTCCGCTTATGGCTGGATATTTGGAGGTTCGCCCGTCCGTGCCCAGTGTGTGCGCTGTTGTTAGGGAGACCGTAGAAACTTTCATTCTGGCCGTGACGCATGTGGAGCAGACAGCAGGGAAACCCAGCAGAAATAAACCGTGAGCAGCCTGGTGAGTCAGCAGGCTGCGCTCCAACGCCTGCCCAGTGAATAGGAAGTAATTATGGCTTGTCGTTATTGACACACACACGCACACTCCACTCCTTTGAAAGCACATCTTAGTATCTGATCAGGATGTTTGCTTGTCAGAGCCCCTCCCTTCTCTAGCCCTCCGTCCTACCTGCTCTGAATAATACTGGCTGCTCTTAGCAGGAAAACGAGCCAACTAGACAGCTTGTCCTCTCCTTTGTGGAAGGCATATTTCAAAAGGTTTTTGAGAAAGAAAGAGGAGGAATTTGCAGTTGTGTACATTTTTAATTTTTTTTAAAGGCCATATACCATTTGATGCATTCGAGGCTGAATTCAATGAGCTGCTTACATAGAGCTGGCTATACCTAACATTTCACACAAAATTCTGTTTGCTGTTGACCAAACCTGTGTGTGTGTGTGTGTGTGTGTGTGTGTGTGTGTGTGTGTACGTGTGTACACCACTCGAGCACACATTTTACACCTGTGCAGATTGGGGACTGAACCTAGAGTCTCGTGTACTGAGCCGCATACATCCCAAACTCATAGGTGTTTAACTTAAATAGTTCAGCCTCAGAAAGTCCAAAAAGACAGGTTTCACAATTTTCTCTCATATTCAGATCCTAGACTTTAATTTTTATATGTGTATATGTATATGGGGAGATCATGAAACTAGAAAGGTGACCATGAGAGTGAGTGAAAATATCCTAAGAGGGAAAGGGAAAAGTATAATAGACTACATGGGACAGGAGAACAGGAGGCTTTGGGGGGGGGGGGTGTAGAGGATGCTACAGGAGGAGGAGGGAGATGGGATAAGAGGATCAAAGTACATATGCCACAAAGGAAACGTTTGTAGTTTGTAGTATAACTTTAATAAAAAGTACATGCTAATTTTTCAAAGATGGCAAGAAAAAAAAAACAGAAACAAAACAAAAAAAAAAAAAAAAACCATAAGCCAAGCTCATATCTGAAATCCCAGCAGTCTGGAGGCTTGCCATGGTTTTTAAGACCAGCCTTCTCTTCAGAGTAAGGCCCTGCCTATAAATAAATAAATACATACACACATAAATACATACATACATACTAGTACTCAGAGGATGACTCTCAGATATTTTATTAAATAGACTTATTTTCACTTTTTTTTACTATTAATTTTTTGGTACTTTCCCTCTCTTTATGTTACCGTCACTCGTTATGTCACTGGCTGAATGTTTTCTTCCCCATTTTCAGTTACTTTCAGGGGACCAGCACTGCCTGTATACAGCAGGTACTGGACACCGTCAGACATTCTATTTCACTTGAACCTGCATTACAGTGTCCGTACACACTGCTTGGGACTGTTGGTTTTCTCCCAGTGACCTTTAGGTCCACAGGCCCTATCGTGCAGGCATGGGGCTCTGTGTCTTAGACATGCTGCTTGTTGGTTCTCAAGACTATCAGAAAGTGGGGAGATCACCGGGAAACAGTGCCTCCTGAGTACATTCAGCTTCATTAGTTTCCAAGTTCTGTGTTCAGAATATCTTGTAGCTCTGAAATGCTATGAAATGACAGCTAATGTGTTCACTAAGATGCTTTTGAGTAACAGTGTGTTTTGATCATAACTGATAATTGTTGTGATGTTGGAATCACACTCATGGATCAAAGATTCATTTCCCAGAAGTCTACTCTCATAGGAAAAGAGCATGTCCGGCTGTGAGTGCCTTAAGGGATTCATTAATCAAGGCGTAGGTTCAGAATAGGTTAATAGTTAACCTGCTTTTATTCTCATCTGCCTACTGATATTTTTAAAAATAGAACATGAATGTGGCTTGGTGGTTTAACACTGCTTAGCATATTCAAGGACCTGTTCAATGACCAGCAAATACATAGATGGATAAGTGTATTTTAATATATTTAAAAGTAGGAATTCTCTTTTATTTTGACAAGTACTACCCCTAAGAAAATAAAAGCTTACAGGATTTACCAAGGGCTGTTGTAATGTAAATAGATCCATTCTTACTCTCTGAAATTTTGATTTGTCTTTTGGAGAGCTATAAGAAATTGAGGGGTTGCAATGCTTAGGGATCTATGCAGAAAATGGGCTGGAATGATTATAAGAGCTAGAGATGAAGGGGAGTATGAATAGCATTTTCCAGATACAACAGGATAGATGCACATATGAACTCACAGAGACTGTGATGTCATGAACAAGACCTGTACAGGTTCAAACCAGCACGAAAGAGAGGTGGGCACAAAGCCCCCACTTCTGGCCAAAAAGCTTTTCAAAAATGATAACTGATAGAAGAAGAAAAAAATCAACTTTCTCCAAGTGACACTGAGTATATCAAGATCAAGAGTACTTGGCCAAACCAAAATGTCCTCCATGTTTTCAGTCTCTTTTTTCTTTTGCTTTTTATTAGTTGGTTGGGTTTTGTTTTGTTTTTCGAGACAGAGTTTCCCTGTATAGCCCTGGCTGTCCTGGAACTCACTCTGTAGACCAGGCTGGCCTCCTGCTTCTGACTCCCAAGTGCTGGAATTAAAGGAGTGTGCCACCACCACCAGGCTGGTGTTGGTCAGTTGGTTGATTTTTAAGAGAGGAAGAGAAGAGTGATAACATGAAGTTGGATTGGGTGGGGAATAAGGAATCTAGGAGATGGGAAAGAATATGATAAAAATAGAATATATGAAATTCTCAAACCACAAATTCTTTTTTTAAAAAAATGTCTCACAATTACTGCCGGCCAACTCCTTGCCCTGAGATAAAGATTGAAATGAACTTAAATTCACAGCTTCAGATAATTCAGGGATCCACAGACTATGGCCCACCATCTGTTTTTCTGAGATTAGTCTTTATAGCTTCTCATAGTTAAAAAAAAAAAGTATTTAGAGACCCTTGAAAATACTGTGAAACTTGAAATTTGGGGTCTAAAATAAAATTTCATTGGACTCTCTCTTACTTATTTATTTATATATTCACAGTGGCTTCTTTTACACAGCTCTGCCATGGTGGGAGAGTTGTATGAAGTTGTTTAACATTTGTCAAATGTTAACAGAAGAATTTTAAGACAGATACCTAGTTTACTCCAATTCAATTTGATCTAAATGAGCCCTTGCTCACTTAAATCCTAGCTGTTTAATATTTTCCTCCTAATGAAGCAAAGAAAACCTCCTAAAAGCAGATCAGACAGTCACTAAAGTTTGTTTTTATATTTTCTTATGTGTATATTTACTTTGTAAGAATGGTACATTCCTGAACACTGTAGATTCTACTAACCCAGCTCAACACAGATGCTCTAACACTAAATAAGGCCAATGATACAATATTAACCTGTCATTGTTTCTAGAATTCTAGAAAAAATGTAAAAGCATGCCTCCTAGTGATCTCAAGCCCTTTAATAATGGTGACTTCCTTTCTCATTGTGTAGTCCTCGCCCACCTAGCACTTGCTCAGCAACAAGCTCTGTCCTCTGCCTCCCAGTGCTGAGATTCCAAGCATGCAACACCATATCTTGTCTTCCATGACATACATATATGGATTGTTTCAGCATGTGGAGGCATAATTTTGATTTTTCAGTTATGCACATTTTTATCATTACTTTATACACTTAAAGTGTGGTGGGGAAGCTTGGGGAGGTGATACTACTTTTCCAAAGTCAAAAATAAACAGAGAAAATAAGATCTACACATAGCGTCCTTAGTTCTGCTGAGGCTGACTATCATGATGTGTGCAAACAGATAAGATAATGATCCAGGAATTCATATGAGTCCCTCTAAGAGGGCTGGACCAATTATTACTGGTGAGGATTCTAGAAGGCATATTGAAAAGAGTAGCTGTGTTGATAGGAACTGTGTCTCGGCATCTTACTGTGTTTGCTGACAGAGGACTTTCTTCAGTTAGGGGACTTCCTCCTTTGGATGGTTTGTCACTGCCACAAGTGAAGAGTTTGGAAAGGAGTCTCACTTCATATACTCTCACCTTATTGATGGATGGCATTCTCCTCATTCCTTCCAGATCTGTTCACCTGAGATTTAGGACGCAGAGTGTCCCTTTCTTCATTAAGTTCAAACAAGTATGACTAAAATTTGACATGAGCCAAATCGTTTCTAAAAACAAACTTGAGATCGTAAATGCATTTACCCCATCTAGCATTACTGATCATGATTCTGTACAGTCACTGACTTCAGGGCACTTTTACCCACCAGCCCCCGGAAGTAACTGACAAGCTGTCCTTCTGTAACTTCC